ATTGTGGGAAAATTCTACTACCAGTCCTTCATCACCTTACACGTAATAGGGTGAATACATCTCATTACAAGCCTATCGGAGCCGGTGAAAAAAGGTAAGGAAAAGGCAAGAGAACACGAGAGGAACAGATAGTTGGGGCAAAGACGGTCGACACGGCATACCAGGAACAGCCATTTAGCTCATTCTTTAGCCGTTCCCTTTTTCTCCCCACCCTCTGCTACAACTTGGCTGCATAGCTCCTCACTTCTTTCGCCATCCCCTCTTTGTCGTGCTTCAGATGATTCTCGACTCTCTTGCTCCGCCGCCCGGATCCACTCCCACTCCATCCAGCAGCCTGGCGAGTCTGATTGGTCCGGGCAACACCAACAACACCAGCCTGAGCCTGAGCAATAGCAGCAATAGCAGCAGCAGCAGTAGTAGTAGCAGTAGTAGCAATGGCAATGGAGGCAGTTGCGGCAGCAGCAACAGCAGCAGTTGCAGCAGCACTAGTCTAGGAGGAAGCCTTCGGTCGGATCTCGACTCTCTTGCCGGCAGTTCTACAGGCGGCAGCCAGTCGGCCCAAGCCCAGTCGAGTTGCTATGGTGATCCACCCCTCCTGTTGCTCACCAGCCTGACGCCTCAACAGAAGGCAGTGGCTGTGGCCGTGGCGGCTGCAGCTGCGGCCGCCGTCTGCGCCTCGAATCCCGGATCACCTCAGCCCGGAGACCCCGGGGCCGGTCAACACGGCAGCTGCAGTCCTGGACCGGGCCGGATGATGACGATGGGGCCATCTGCTGGGACCGGGTACCCCGGCTCGTCTCCGTCGGCAATGCCTTCGGGAGAGGAGAGGCCGGCGATGGGTCCGCCGGGCCTCGGATGTCCCGGAGAGTCGGCAGCGGCCTCTTCTGTTTTCACTCAGCCGCTGGGGCGTCAATTGGGCCTGTTGGACGCTGAAATGGTGGCCGCCGGGCTTAGACGACCCAACCTTCACCGACACACACTGTCAATATAGACCTGAATAAAGCAGGCACAAAGCGAACTCGAACTATTCTGTCACTCCTTTTCATACACAACCACATGCTACGAATCTGTCCTCTTCCAGCCGTTCGGCCAAGAGGCATGAGCCCCCACATTAGTCCTTTTATACATGGTACACACAACGTTCCGTCCTCGACTGTCTTTCTAGGCTCATTCCTCTATTCTCAACTGACTAATATATCCTATCGGCATAGACATGTACATGGAAGATAGGAATTCTGAATACAAATATAAATACATAATTTTAAGCAAGCATTTTAGAATTTATTCGGCTACCTGAACATCTTTCTCTGCTCACGTGTCTGCACATCTATTTCATCTGTACCAGAAGCTGGAGACTTCTCTTGCCCCGATTCTCACTCTCGCCCAGTCTACCCGTTTTGCTTGTCCCAGATAACTTTCCACTCTG